CGAGGGCTAATGTACAAGTACTTACTTCAGCACGTTCACTGCCAAGCTACGAGATAACTCGTAGTTGGCAGTTTGCTGGTACAAGTTTACATCCTATTCGAAAGCATTTGTTTGCAAAAAAAAAAAAAAAACAATTGAAATTAAAGTCATAATATAAAAATTAATATGTGTTTGTTTAATTCTATACAATAAATTGAAAAAAAAAAAAATGTTGGCGTCTAGAACAGATTTCTTCAAAATAGGCTTGGCAGTCAACGTGTTAATGTGCGAAGATAATATTATTCTGTAAATATTTTATCTCGGATTTATGTACAGTGGAATCGTTTTATTTATTGTGTTACAAGTATTTTTTCATTCTTTGCAATTATTGCTCTATCGTTGAGATTCGATAATTTGCCTGAACATCAATTTTGCATACCTAATTTCGTTTGCAGTTTGTACTTAATTTTATAGTTGATCTAAATATTTTAATTCGTATACGTATATGGTAGAATTATTTTATTTACCGCCTTCGAAATAAATAAAAATAAATCTTCAGGGGTAAATAGAATCAATTTTTCAAATAAATATAATTAACCTTCGAAATAAACAAAATTAACGTTAAAAATAAACTAAAGTCCTCAAAATAAATAATAAAAAAAAAGAAAATGAAAACGTTTGTAAGAGTTTTCGAGCCTAGGCGTTAAATTATTCGACAGAAATTAGCATCCTAAATTTCAGGCATGGGCGGACAGGATTCGCACAGCTTTATTAAGTCGCTCTCCCCGGGTAAAAGTACGGAAATGATGAATTAAAATGCATAATACCGGGCCGCTAATTAAGCCAGCACAGACGGATAGACAGACGAAAGTCACGACTGCATAATGTGCACGCTCGATTTTCTGCAGCTGCACGGCGTAATGCAATCAAGTCGTAACGACGCAGAGAAAGTGGAAAAAAGAAAGGAGTAGAAGAAACAAAAATTCGGCTACTTCAGATCCCGGAATTCCCTCGGATCGCGCGTAAAATTCGATCGTTAACGCGTGGATCATTATGCCGTGAAATTTTCTAGCCTGAATAAGACATTTATCGCGCCGGGTAGAAAAACGTGCAACAAGGTGTAAAAGACTCGGTGGACGTTGCTACGGAGTTACGAAAATCCCGGTATTTTTCGTTTTCCGCAGGTCATTAGCGCCACGTTATATTCAGAAGCTGGTAATTGCATTTACGTAATTTTTTTATTTGAAAAAAAAAATGTTCGCAAAAATTTGTTTTTGAGGAATTTATCGTATGGAAAAATTCAGACTTTTGTAGTAAACGTGTTTAATCTGCTGGAGGAAAATTTCGCTCTGACTGTGTTATTGAAGTTTCAAATTTCAAATTTTAACAGGTTTAAAAATCGTTCGTCTTTGGTTTAAGAATGAATTCCAAGCCATGAACAATTCAGTCCAGTTACTAATTTTGCGACAATCTTAACAAATTGTTCATTCTCTATGTGTAATAAGAAAAAAGCGATTCAAATATCCTCTATTTTTAACATATTATAATATGTAAAATAATTGTTATAAAAATAAGAAATTTGTCCACTATGGAAAATTTCTCGAAATTTCAAGCAAAAGATAAATCATATTTCTTCCAAATAAAATTAAAAAGCAACGCAATACACAGAAATGAAATAATTTTACCATCATATTAGGCGCAAAATTGCAAATTTCTCTAGTTCCTTCAAAATAGCGAATTTATAACCAAACGTGTCCCAAACTGGGATTCCCATATTCCGCTAAAACATTCGCAGAATTCACAAATCTACGGACAACTTTTTCCACCCAAAACAATCTGCGAAACATTCGGCAAACATTCTCTAAAAATATCGTCGTCATAGACCTCTCTAACCTCGGCAACCGAGTATTCGTCCATCATCCCCGTGGAATCTAAAATCGAAGATAAAATTTGCATAAAAATTCTGGCGAATTGAACGCGAACTAGGAGAGATTTGTGTTCACCGCTTTGGCCATCTGCACGCGTCCCTGGACCACCGGGAGCGAAACGTGCGAATCCAGCTTAGCACGAGCGTATTTACATTCACGTAGGAGCTAAATGGAAGTTGCATCGGCGAAGGAATGCAGTCTCGTGGGATATCCGTCCGTGAAACGTATGCATCGCGGTCGAAGCACGTGGGACGTTCGTACATCCACTTGTTTGCGATTTTATTGTGGCCTGCACATCCTCTGACGGAGGATTCGAGTTCCCAGAAAATCCTTTACGCCCGTCGCGACGCTAAGGATTCGACTCATCAGATTTTACGGCTTTTCATTTCAATAATCGTGCTCCTTCGTATTGTAAACAATCTTATTCTTAGCATCTGCAAATTCAAAGTTATCGCTCAGTATTTGGAATATGAAAATTATATTCAACAGATGAAAAAGCGTGAAAACATTCAGGGTTGATTTCACCCCTTAACACGTTCGTGCCACCGACGCAGCATATGCGGTCCAGAATGTATTCCCCAGCGTGCGTTCAACCTTTGACGGCAGCGAACGCGTTGAAGTGATTTTCTATTGGAAAAAAATTGTTCCTTGCGCATTTCGTGATACTTTACAAATGTACGCTCAAAGTTCCGCTGAAATTAGAATTTTTAGAATGGGTGATTTTCTTTGTAGGTAAAAAATGTTAATAAACCGAATTTATAGAAATTTTATATTATTTCGTGTCACTTGGAATATTCTACACTATATCAGTTAATATATTTGATTATTTCTTGAAGTTAATTAAACACCATATTGTCACAATCATTTTCTATATTCAATTACGTAGATTTGACAAATTTTTTTTAACTTATCTACTGTTGTCAAAACATTGTGGAGATAATGCAATAACTTCGAAGTCTGAATATTTTATTCGACGATTCGATTGAATCGAATGCATCTTTCTATCGTGCTCAGAGAGTCGAATACTCGTCTTGGGGAATTTTGAATTGGTTTTAGGTTATGCATATTGCATTAACGTGGGCTCAAATTGAAAAATATGTTTCTTTGTCGAAAGATTCTTTCGAGGAATATTTTATTCGAGTGAATCGGCTGCATCTTCCTGTTGTGGTAAGATCGCCGAATATTCGTCACGGGGAATTTGATTTGGTTTTACGATATGCATATTGCATCGAAGCAGGATCAAATGGAAAAATGTTTTCTGTCAGAAGATTCGTTCGAGCAATATTTTATTTTTCTTTATGAAGAATATTTTCTTTCCGATACGACGGGAGAATTATTTGTGAATTTTTTTTTTGTTTTTTGGTTAAAAAGTGTGTTTATTGGGGAATAAATTTTGTTTCGGAAAAACATTCACTTCTGAATGAAATATAAGGAATAATTGTCGTATAATTGAAAATTCTTGTTTGTCTCAATCGTTGAAAAATTGTTTCAAGATTTCTGACAAACATCTTGATTGGAAAGAACCTAATCCGAAGATTCTACTGTGAATATAAAGTATTCGAAAAATTTGTAATTTTCGTCAGTGAAGAGACAATTATTTCCAATTACGAATCCTCTTCGAAATTTCATGTTAAATTGAATCCTTCTTAAATTAAATAGAATAATACACGTTACATTTGTATTCTTCAAAAATACAGTTCCACCAGTTCGAACGAAAATTTCTAATTTCTAATTGCGACAGCCTATTCTGATCAGACGTCACGAGGAAAAACATGAAGAAACTAATCGGTTGTTCTTGAGCAATTAGAAGTACATGGACAGAATTTCACCGAAACGTAGGCTAAGCTATTCTCGATTCTCGAACCGTACGAGGGCCCTCTTCTCCTCCCATCCTCTCGATTCATTCGCGATTCTTGTATCGTGGCCGACGTACGGTCTCGTGTTTACGTTCACGTAGGAAACACCTTGACTCGACACGAAAACCCAGTTAGCACCGCGATACGCCACCTACCGCGAGGACAAGCCTGATTCATTCCTCAGGGAATTGGCATCTTTTTTGGTCATTTCTTCCTCGACGTACCATTACATTAAGTGAGCTGCAATTGAATAAATGTCTACGATTGCTAAAAAGATTTGCAGAAAAATTGGCGAAGAATCGTACATTCGGAAATTTTGAGAAATTAGAAAATTAGGAAGATTAGCAATACAAAAAATTAGAAATTAGAAAGATTAAGGATTTTTCAAACTTTCTCTGAAATATTCAGTTTCAATTGAGATTAATAATTTTCATATAAACAGAGAGTTTTCATTTTCCACGAGAATTACTGTGCACCACTGCATCAATTTTTCGAACTTTTCTCAAAAATATCCAGTTTTAAGTTAATCCAAGTTACATTTGAAATCAATAATTTCCAAATAAAGGAAAAAATTTTCATAATTCTCGTTTTCCATAAGAATTACTTGCGTATCATTGTTTCAATTTTTCGAATTTTCTCTAAAATATTCAGTTTCAATTGAGATTAATAATTTTCATAGAAACGGAGAATTTTCATAATTTTCGTTTTCCACGAGAACTGCTCGTGTAAGTGAGTAGAAACTGAAATCAGCAACGCGTCAGAGAGTTGCACTGCGGCCAGTTGCATGCCCTCTGCACTTCTTCCACGCATTGTTCCGTTCCCTCCGCCTTTCGAGGACCTCGTATGCAACGAGGCAAGTTGAGTTAGGTCAACCCTCGATCCGAGGCTGCGAATTCCACCTCGGGTGCATTGTTCCCGCGATGCACCATATTGCATTCCTTTATTTCGAGCACATGCTTGCAACGGGGGCAATTATTGACACGCGAGGGGGGTCGAATAATATATTTCACGGAATTATTAATAATAAACGTCGAATTGAGCGAACATTTCGTTCAATTTATTCTTCTCTCGGTGTTAAAAAAATATCAATTCGGCTCGCAATATTCAAAATATTCAATTTACAAGTTAATATTCAATTTACAATTTAAAGTATTCAAAATATTCGACTCAGAATATTCAAAATATTCAATTCGCAAGTATTCGTCTAACAATATTCAAAAATATCAATTCGACTCACCCTGCAACAAAAATCCATGCAACGCGAGGTTCATGGCTACGATGAATTCCTTCAGCCTGAAACAGAAATATTTTCAATTGTAACTGGCCAATATTTACAGTAAAAGTTCTGTCTGAATTTTTCATTAATTTTTCGACTGGGAAAACTACGTTTCAGTAAGGATCATTTATTTCTGTTCGAAGGATTATTTAGTCACAAAATTTTAATTAAAAGACAGTTTTGTGGAACAATTCGTTAAAACTGTAAAGGAAAAAGTTCGTGTCGTTACAAAAGTGTTAATACAACGCTCGGTTATAATTAAGCGGAAAATTGTAAAAATTATTTTGCAGTTTCGTTGCTCAACAGCGCTACAATCTCTCCCAATCATCTGCACGTCTCACTTGCGATCAACTGAAAGCACCATTTAACAAGAATAATTACGTTTAATTGATCAGACAGACGCAATCGTCGGTCAGAATTGAAGCATCGATCAGAAAATTCCAGCTTCGCAAAAATCGCGGATGATGGACGGTAATAATGCAACACTAAGCGATGCTAATTGCGGCTAAATTGCACGGAGGCGTAGAAGAATCTCTAAGCGGAGTAAATTCGTTTCTATCTGCCTGAAGACTTAATGAATTCCCTCTTGCAGCTAGGTAATGCAACTTTGAAACCTGCATATTACTATAGCTGAAGTCATCGATAGTTGATTTAAAGGCATTCATAGAATCAGCAATAAAAATAACTAGTAATAATCGAAAATCCATTTGTATTATTATTAATGACCACAGGTTTGAAATTTTCCACGTATTCCTCGTATTGAATCTGACGTGAAACGTATTCATAGTTGAGACTTTGGTAACTTCATACGAAGCAACTGCTGTTAAAATTAATTGGAAAATTACAGTTTGCATTTTTGTAAGTTATAATTAAAGTTTATTTGTTTTCTTTTTCTATTCTAAACTGAGGTGT